AGACTTGGCGGCTTTTTTCGTTTGTCTTTCTGTCTCTTAGTAGTCAACCTGTCTAGTTGTTAACCTATGCCCAGCGCAGCGGGCCCTTGATGGGCCCGCTTTCTGGGCATGTATTGATATCAGAAGAAGTCGAAGGTTCATGATCTCTCATCGCCGAAGGGGAGCCGCGTTCGGCTTTCGACGTCGTCGGTTCTATTTTCATTCTTGAGCTTGTTGCACCGCTAGACGAGAAGGAGGAGCCATTGCTGTCCTTCTGTTGTCGTTTTTGTTGTTCGTCTTGTTGCCCTTTTTGCCTTTGGTCCTGTATCCCTTGTGGCAAAACCTTTTCCTTCGGCAGCACCTTTTCCTTGGCCGACGCCATAAAACTCTTCATAGAGGAGGCTAAACGCACGCCTGAGGCTAAGCGAGAGGACCTCTCTTTAGAACTAGAAGGTTTCAGATCACTACAACATTCTTCAGAACATCACCCCTCACCTCTTTCCTACTACAAAAAGAGTCACCGGGGATGTTGATGATTGTGAAGGCTGCAATTCAAATTGGTGAACCCATAATGGTTGGCGTAAGCCGAGACGCGATCGACTTCCTGGAGATGCTCGAAGATGATTTCTCCGACACTGATTTCGGTGACGACTTATCTTCATTCGTTTCCAAATCAGTAATAGAACAAGGTACTTGAGGCAAGCCCTGTAGTTCCTGATTAGCATTATGGGAATGGTCTTGGTGACCAGCTGCATCGTGGTGACCAGTGTCCTCGCGACGCTCGTTCATTGGAGCAGACCTGTGTTGAAGCCTGGTCTCTGTCTCTACTCTGCTCTCCCCTGCGCCTGTCGCACTAGTTGTACCTACTCGTCCTACATCTCGACCATAACTCACCTCTGGCGATCCAATGAAAAAATGCCTGACTCCAGCCCCTGTATCCACAATATCCACAAGTGGCGTTCTCCGTGACCTCGTTTCAGAACCGTCAGTACTCGAACATCTATCAAATGGTTCAAAAAAATCGCTATTGGTTTCATCCCATTTGCTTGTGCGGCTATTGTTGCCAGAATGGCCATCTTCGTCAGACGAATTGTTACCTTGTTCTGCAGCGACGTGATCTACCAAATCTTCTTCTTCCTCTCCACTTTAGAACAGGTTTCCGCATGGCATTCTGCAGAACATCTACTTCCCTAAAGTTGTAAGTATTTCTATTTTCTTCTTAGAAAAGGTCGATTTTCTTTTTAGAAAAGGTCAATACCACAGAGTTGGAGTGGTCCGGATCTCATTATCTTCTTGAGGTATTTCTCTTTTCTTTTTAGAAGCGGTCAAGCTCACAAGGGAGACGCAAGTGCAGAACGCAATGTATGCGCAGATGAACGCTATGCAAAAGTATAGATACGTAACTTCTACTGTCAACATCATCTTCCGCTGCAGCTTGATGCCCACCACGGTGCCTCAACGATAGAGCGAATGGATGTATAATACTCCCGTCAGTAGAAGCGACATTAGTTCCGTCACGCGAACAAATCGTCGCTTCGAACAAATTGTCGAAGACCAGACTCGTAGCACTTTTAGAGCTTGAATAATGAGGGCCAAAAAATAGGTGTCCTCCTAGTTAGACGTGGAAGTAGAGGATAAAACCGAAGTAAGTATTAGTAAGAGCCATAATACTTGTCGCAACGTCCTCACACTTTGTTACTGTTCCTTGAGGATCCTGAGACGAACTTGCTTGTCTTCCGCCCTCGTCGTGCTCTAGTAACAATAGCCCTGTCATGCTCGTCGACATATCCCTAGTCGTAGTTGTACAAGTACTTTGCATCTTCTCATGTGGTTGTTCGTTCACTCCTCTAGAAATACTATCGTCAAGAAGAATCTCTTCAACTATTAGAGCTGCTGCGTCGCAACTTCCTGTTTGACTGTCATGTCGATCCTTGGAGGATACTTCTTTTTCCCCTCGAAAAAGAGACCTTAAGGATCATGTTGAGGATGCTTCTGCGCTAGCCTTAAGACCAAAGATTCTTCTAGATGTGCTTGTAATTGGTCTCGTTTATCTCCTTGGTCTTGATCTCTTTTGTCGCCAATCGAGCAACACTCTGCAAACAACTTCGCCAAACCACTGATACACAAACGGCAACTTGCACTTGCTACTGGGACTACAAGGTTGCGACACACTGGCACCACGCATTCCCTCGTTACGCAATTACTGGTCTGAAAGAGGCAATAGCTTGTACCTTTTAAGCAGTTGGCTGTGTTGCGGAGAGCTCCTTCGGCTCTACCTCGAGGCGCTCTACTTCTCGTTGTTCCACTTTGCGACAAAGACAATCTTGACGCTGCTCGATCCACATTATCGACAGGGCCTTCCACAAGGATACTCTTGTCTCGAACAGCTCTACTAAGATCCACAGGAACTACACTGCTTTTTGAGCTTGATCGAAAATTAGAGCTGTTACCTTGAAATTGGATCCATCTTCACGGCCCCCCTCCATATTAGTCGTAGCAGTAGGAGTAGCACTAGCAGTAGTAGTAGTAGTAGTAGTAGTAGTAGTGGCAGTAGTGTGCCCAATCTTTTTCTTGTCTTATTCTTCCAACATGGGAACATCAACAACTACCAAAAATTCTTCCAGGAGGAGCAAAAGGAAGAAAAGATCCCGTGATATTATCTTCCGTTTTCCCCGTGATATTATCTTCCATTGGGTTCCAAGATCATGCCGAGAAAGATGGACTTGGACAGACATAATAGATCGAAGTACCTCTCTAAGAGCATCGTCCCTCTTATGGAGGTAGACGCGTACTCGGTCTTGATCCAGTTGCTCTTCCTCTTCCTCACAGATCATTGATGATGCTTCCTCTATTTCTGTACCGTCTTCTTGTAGTCCAATATCGTTGTGATCAATATAGAATGAATCATTGGAGTTAGAAGAACGGCGCTCGTCGTGCTGTTGAAGGTTAGAAGTCGAAATGTCCTCGTCAAGCGGTCGTTGTGGAAGTAACGAATCTCGAAAATGCCTCCTTGGTGTGTTTCCTGGTGTGTTTCCAAGATCCCCAACCTGAACTTGTTCTTGATGTTGAAGATGTTGTTGATCTTCCCCAACATGATGGTTGCCTTCTAGGCTTCGTCCACGTTGTTGAGCCTCCACACCCACAAGTCGAGCCTCCTCCAAGCTTTCATCTATGCTACTGCAGCTCGTGCTTCTAGCTTCTATCAAGGAAAGTTTTTCCTGCTCCGATGCTGATGTGGTGAAAATCAAAGCAGGAAAGCACGAACTTGCTCGCCAAGTCGTGTCTGTATCCTGCATTAATTAGTGCTGGCAACATGATTATACGCATTAATTCACATGATGATCCTATATTTTCATGTCATACTAGGTATGCTGATCTTGCTTCTAAGGAGGACATAACTCAACAGAAAAAGGGAGAGCAAGAAAACGTCTGAATCATTGATTTCTCTTTGACCCCAATAGATACTCGCACAAACGTCTGCGTTGACTGATTGCACACAAGCAAAGTGGGCAGCCAATGCTATCGCCATCAGTGCACCTCAGATAGTTCTTCTCAACTATCACAGCGAGGAAACAGCTCCTGAAGCGGTCCAAGGACTAAGTACCACTAGCAGCAGAGGAAATTATGCCATGAATTACTTCACAACTATACAAGCGGCCTTAATCTACTCCCGTCACGCCTGCTAGAGAGCGCCTTCGAATTCTCTCTGCGGATCCACATATGGATGAGGGTTTTTCCATCTAGCCAGACCATTGAGGTTCCCCTTGAATCTAAAATACACTTGCAAGGGGAAAAGGAGCATCAGCCTCGATCCTGGTCTGTTAAAGATGGGAGAAAAAACATCATCCATACCACAAGGATAATGACCTTTCGGGAACTTGAAGGACACGCTTTTCGTCCGAAACTTCAAGATCCGAAGCTGCTGGGAAGGCAAACAACAGGACAAAATCGAGCTGCAAGGGCATCGACCTCTTGTGCAGGACACTTCTCTCAATTTACAAGATCCCTCCTTGAGGTTGGCCTTGAAAGCAGTATGAGGCTTTTTATTTTTCCTTGAAGAGGATGAGGTTGGTTCTATTTGCAGCTCTAACCTCGAAGTTGAAGAAGTTGTAAATTGCCGAGAAGTAGCACCTGTTGTTCCTGTAGCAGTAGTTCCTGTACAGCACAAGAAAGAAAAGCATCCTTCTCTTAGAGCTCACAAGATTTCATCTTCTAGCTTCATGTTGTTCATCTCTTTCGCTTCAGTAGATTGATAATTCGTAATAAACTGGAACTACTGATGAGGAAAAACATGGTGGTGAAGGATTCAATGTGGAAACCCTCAAGTATAGCTTTCATGTTTTTCATCAGGAGTTGTTCCAATTAAATATACAGTTGCTAGAGATGATGATGAATCACTCTACACTTCTGCCTATACAGTTAGAGATGAATCACTCTAAACTTCTGCCTTAATTCTAGTCCGTCGCCACAAAACTGTCGTCTCCCTGCCTCACAGCAGCCGACCGCTTTATCGGACAAAGTGGAACAAGTCCGAGTAACAAAAGAAGGTTGACGCGCCACCTCAGGTCGATAGCCAGTGTTAGACAGATCTATGTGTCCTGGAGAGCTTTCTTAGATAACCTTGTCACTATGTTGTATCCTGAAAGGCTTTCTTAGATAACCTTGTCACTATGTATCTGAGTTTGTCACTACGTTGTATCCTGAAAGGCTTTCTTAGATAACCTTGCATTTGTACCTAACCATAGACTCCTAGAAATTGTTCATCCTCCAAACCCTTTGAGTGGTGACACGGAGATTACCAATCCCAGACCCACAGAGAGCGATAGTCTGAAAAATAGGGGTAGTATGTCTTCTAGCTCTACCACTAGTATCAGAAAGATGAACATGAACGAATGCAATTCCCAACATCTTCTATGAATCTGCAACGCCTTAACATTCCCGACATCTCCGATAAAATGGGGTACAGCAAAATCTGCTTCGCCATTTGTGATAGCTGCATTCACCGCATCCGCAGAGAGTAAAAGGGCAACGACTGCAGCAACGACATAAGAAGCAACGCGGACATGAGAGGACGAGGAGCAGCGAAGTCGCGTCATCATCATTTCTGCGGGCGTTGGTATCAAGTAGTTCTGGCGTCTAGTCTCTGAAAAATCTCTCTCCAGTGAGGACAATAGTCTCTATCTAAACAAGAGACTAGGAACCTAGAAGTACAAGATGTCCTGGCTTATTCTCTTGTCTGAGATCCTCTCTCTAGTGACAGTTAAAAAGATGCGGACATCTAAGAAATATCTCTCCTCGGGTAAAAAAAAGATCTGGACCGATCGATCAGTAGGTACTATAGCACTGGCTATTACAGTACTACTTACTACGGTAGCGATACTAGTAGTCATGACTACTTGTTTCTTACACCAAAATGACTACGGTGTGTTATAATATCAAAATAGATTCAAGAACAGGCAGTGTGTTATAGTATCAAGATAAATCCTCGACTGGTTCAAAATGAACAGGTCGTGTGTTATAGTATCAAAATGAGTCCTCGACTCGCCGACCCAGGGTTCACCGATGATGTCATTAGGACGTTTGTGCACACATACACTTTCTTGCCACGATGGCTATCTTGCTGTATTCTTGATGTCTGATGGTGGTGTTGTGAATCGAAAAAAGAAGGCACTAATCAGGCATACGTGACGACGCGCACCAGCAGGAGCACTATGTGAGTCAGCTGCCTCCTCCTGTTCGTTGATGATAATGAGATATCAAGCAACAGATTTACGCGATCATAACTCGTGCTCGTTTGTTCGAATATGAAATGCATCAACCGATTGATTCACGTACCAAACTCTGGCGCATCGCATGATCTATAGTGTTCGTTCAAGGCAGATCAACGGGATTTTATTGTTCGCTGAGGGCATGAGATCAATGGGCTTTTATTGTTCGCTCAGGACAGTAGATGAGCAGACCTTTCAACATGTTATCGCTCCAACGAACTTCCACCCTCTTTTCACAGTCACAACAGGAAAATCTCCACGGTGAAAGCATACTCCCCGCCACCGATCATGGCGCGATAGTACTATATTCTGCTTCTGGACATCATAAGCATAACTCACTGTATGTCTGGAGGTTGTGAGAGTTCATCAATCTCTGAAACCTTCTTTGAAGTCTAGTAAATGTTTTTTTTTCCATCTATTTTTTCCTAGAATAATCCACGTTGTCGTTGTTGCCTTTAGGCTAAGTAGTTCTAATCTTAATAATTCCCAGTGAAAGTAGATCCTTGGTTCATGCGACAGTGCTTGTAATTCGTTGTAAGAAGTGAACAAGAAGATGAAAACGCGAATACTAAGTGAATGTTGTCATTTTTGAAGTTTTAACGGTCTATAGTGTCTCTTTATCGATAACAGCGATATAATCGGTTGACTTAGCGCCAACGTGTTGTAGTGTTTTTCAGTTGAAATTCAGTGTAGTCGAGTACTGTTTTGCTGTGAAAATTTAGTGGATACCGTGAAATCATTCCCTAATCCCAATCTCTTAATCAAATCATCTAACTTCTTCTAGTCCAACTTCCATCCTCGAAAATTGCAACATTCATTCCCATGCCCGTGAGTTGGTATCTTCAACTCGTATTAAATAACGACATATCTTAGTCCTGCTGAACTTTTGAGAAAAATAGTCTAGTAGCCCAGAAGTTGAGATAATCCAAGAAACTTCCCTTACCCTCCTTTTGCCCTACACCTTGATCTGGATTTGCAGTCTATATTTGCTCCACAGGGGGTTGCAGCTCCAGGAATGCCGACGCTGCTGCCTTTGCTGCTGCCTTTGTTCCTGATGCTGATGCTGATGCTGATGCTGATGCTGATGCTGATGCTGATGCTGATGCTGATGCTGATGCTGATGCTGATGCTGGTGCTGATGTTGATGCTGATGCGAGTGCTTCTTCTCTTGCAGCTGCATCTGCTGCTTTTGCTGCTTTTGCTGCTTTTGCTGCTTTTGCTGCTTTTGCTGCTTTTGCTGCTTTTTCTTCAGCTTCAAGTACTCCCCTGATCTTGAAACTCTCTGCCCACCTGTATGAACACAGTCGGGCACTCAAAACCGAAATGTGGAATGTTGAAGTTGGTTTTCTTTTCTGACCAATCGCAACACGCTGCAGGGAAACAGAAAAAGAATAAGACGCTTGTTGGAATGTAGTGGGTTTGGTGGGAAGTCAGGACCATCAGAATCTTTGCCCAAGAACCACCATGAGACTAAGCAGATCCGAATTGAGCCACGCTGGATCTTTATGGGGAATTGGCCCCGCAAGATCTTAACTCCACGCCCTACTTATTCTGAGCTGAGGAATGTCGGAACACATCCCCCTCGCAAATGACTCCGGCCCAAAAGCTAAAACAAATAAAGTGGAGAGGTCCCCGCCTGTATCCTGTATGCGTTCCTCAATCGCGCCAAGGTGAAACGTCGAGGAAATCTCTCCGACCACGCTCGAAAGCAGTCGCCGCCAAGAGAAGGCCCACAACCTTCGCCCCAGCGCTGACGCTGCTCCTCCAGCGTCAAGCATATCAATCTTGCCACGGTCTCAACTCACAGCGGGCCACCGGTCTCAGAACCCGGCGAGAAATCTCGCAAGAGAAGGCAAGAACTGACTCCTTCAGAGTGCCAGGAAAGTCGAAGGCGCAGACCTGCGCCACGAGGCTCCGAAACTTCGCCTCAGCCAGCGCCTTGGCCATGATGTCAGCCAGCTGCCTACCCGTCGGGACGTAGGTGATGCGCGTCTTCTTTGCCTCCACCATCTCGCGCACGAAGTGCCACCGCAGGCCGATGCGCTTGCACCTCCGACTTTCACGCGCCTCAGCGATGTACCTGGCGCCGATGTTATCATAGCGGACGGGGATGGTGGCAAGGCTGTCACCCGCGTATTCCAGAACCTGCGAAACGGCTCCCCACGTACGCGGCCCCTCCGAGAGGTTACGCAAAAACGTCGGCTCCTTATGCGTTTCCGCGCCAGCAGTGTGCTCTGCTTCGCAACCCGGAGGCGCCGCGCTCTTCTGCAGTGTCGCACGCCAGTGGAAAGGCATCCGGAGAAAGACCACCGCGCCCGCTACGCTTTTCCCATCGTCGCGTTGCCCAAAGGACCACCGGCAGGAGCATCTTGTCAGCAAGCGGCTGGAAGCTTCCCGGAACAATTCCACAGGCCTCGTGCTTTGTTGTCTTTCCCTGGTCGTCCTGCTTCTTTACTGGCCCCATTTCCATGCCCATCGCTTTGCAAGTGCCGGGGCCCTCGGGGTCGTAGTGCGCTTTGTCGCTGACGTTCTGCCGCCCCGCGTCGGTCGCTTCTGCCCAATCACCCCGGCCCGCTGACTTCGTCGCCCTTCCAAACGTGACCGCCCCGGCCAAGTGCTCGCTCTGCTTTCGGCACCCCTGCAAACTGGTCAGCGAACGCCACGAAGCTGGCCATCTCGTCCCCGGGGGTGTCGGGGTAAAGGTCTTCGCCGAGCCCATCAACATGAACAGAGGCACCAATCCGCGCCATCTGTGTGAGGCTCGTCATCATCCACCACGCGGCAACTGATGGGCTGCAAACTGTTGCCACGCTGATCCCCCGTCACATAATCACTCGCAGACTTACAGTAGTAAAGAAGTGCCCCCGGCTCCCGTTGCTCCTCCACCTTGTTCTTGTACTTGTATCGGCTGAGCGTGGCACGCTGATGGAAGGGCAGCATGCGTCCCAGGCGGGGCTCCCGCTGTTATTGGTCGGGGTACATTAGTACCCAAGTACGGAAACACGAGCCCAAGGCCCAAAGAGGACGAGACAACTCCCGGCCCTAAAAGCCTACACAATGGGAATTCGTCACGGCTGTGCGCGTTTGTTTCTTCTTTGCATCCTATCACCCAACTACGGTGCCTGCTGCTTTCTTTTCTCGTCTTTTCATAGGAGACGCCTCCTCGCTCTTTTTATGTTTTTCCCAAGAGGGCCCACTCTCAAAAATGTGCAGACTCATAAATGCCTCTCGACTACGACGCAAGACGATCGGCCATCTCATGACTGATTTCATGTCTCTGGTTCCTCACTCATTCATCCCCCAAGCCAAAATGATCGACGACTTCGAAAGCAGTGAGTGACTGGCTTCTGCCTCTACACACGCTGTCGCCACGCCTCGTAAGGTGGCAACCCATCCAGCGCCCCACGCGGCATCCTGCTGCGGACGTCTGCGGAGCTCTTCGCCGCATATCCCCACAGGCTTCCCCTCAGACCACAAACGCGAGCGCGAACAGGCGCTCCGCTTAGACGCTCCACGATCCTGCTCTGCTGCGGCGAGTAGGTACGGGCTCGCCCGCCCTCTCAGAACGGACGCCGCGGCTGGTGAGAAACTCCACGACCGCCTTTGCTGTATAGATACTCGCCGCCGCCGTCGGTACTGAGGCACTCGGAGGTGCGGCGCTGCCTCACCCAAAACTCCAGAACCTCCAGCGTGTGCTTGACCTCTTTCTTCAGCGCCAGGCAAGCCCTGCACCATCGCGACCGCCCATCGGCTGACGCAAAAACGCAGCGACTGCCTCTTGCCGGCGGAGGTAGTGGGCCCAGGGTATCCATGTGGGGCCGCTCGCTTGCGCGCGTCGCTCTGTGGTGATGCGTGTTGATTCCTCCGCCCGTTAGCGCGTTTGCAGGTGTCATAATGAAGGTGGTGCCCTATGTGGCTCATCGCGATGCGCTGCCTCAACGTGGTGGCCGGAGGTGCCTCCGCATGCGCTTCGAAATCCAGACTGTGACAACGGACTGCCATCTGCTTCCCCGACGGGTATCCGAAACCCGCACACCGTTTCGGTTCACTTCACGCCCCTGCTTGCAATCGAAACGCGTGCCCCCCTCGCGGCATACCTTCCGCCGTGAAAAGAGCGGGGTCTTCATCTCGGGCACGTGGAGACAGTGAGCCAGGTAGCTCGTTCCCCGGTATCATAAAACGCAATCGCCCCCGCCTGTGGCCTTCCGCCTCTTCCCGTCAGCAATCTCCACCGCGCGGCTGATCGGCTTGAAAGCTTTGAGCCACAGCCGGTCACCCGTGAAGTGACTTGCCGCCCCGGGCTCACAGATCACCAGCAGCGAGCTGCCCGAGACTGCTTCACGCGCCATAGGTGCAAAGCCCGAAGCCTTCGCTACGTCTTGCGCAGTAACGCCGAAGACCATCGCCCGCGAAACACATCAACGCCCAGAAGACGAACATCTCGAAAATAATGCAAGACGCCCGCGCAAAGAGCGCTCCTGATGTTGCAAGCCGCTGCCGTAGCTTCCTCGCGACTCCCGCGCGCGATGCAAGTTCTAGGCCAGGACCTTCTTCTCCTTCACATGAGGGAGCAGCGTCCTGCCCTGCGGTATCATCCACAGGAACAGGGTGGCCAAGAGCGGCGGGCCCAGCCGCAGCTTTGGCCTCTTCGTCCTGCCTTTTTATCTTCCGCCACGGTTCCTCCCTCTTCTTTCGTGGGTGCTTCAGCTGATTGCGCCGAGCCAAGTCCCTGCGCTTCGCGGTTGGTTCCCCTTGTAATGTCGGCGCGTGGTCTCCCGACTAGGGTCGGCGAGTGCGTCACCGGTCTCCTTACATTCAGCGGCGCACCAACACGCTGCGCGCCTTCGGTCTGCTGCTGCTTCTTGGCGGGGTGCAAAAACTTGAACGCAGCAAGAACGCCAGGCCGACTGAGTCAGAGCGCTCACATGATCCCGCGGCCCCCTGGTCTTACTCTCTGGCGTCACTTCAAGCCGTGAGAGCCTAGGAGTATGGCCGAGCGCTCACGATCTGAAGCAGCCAGAGCGATCCTGCTGCATCAATGGCAACCAACTCATCTGGTTCAATGGTATCACGCAGCACTTCAACCTGAGGCGCCAGCGCTCGATTCCTTGAAGGTGAAAGACATGCAAACCAATGAAATCCGCACGAAGCCGCACGCAATCCCGATAACCTAAGACGCCAAACCTCTGAGGATGGTGCTCCGTCCTTACCATGACTCCACTACCAAACACACGGCGCTAGGTAGTCCGTTGGCACCAGCAAGGGCCCCAGAGGGGCACCAGGTAGCTCTGAGTAGCTTGCGGCCGTCGCGTCGACCGAGTCGCACCCTAAGAGTCTACCTGGCTCCTTGTAGCATCCTCAAAGCTTTGCAACTTTTCAAAACTTGCACTCTCTCAGGACGTAGACCTTCAGCATTTCATCTAGTTCCCCCCGGCATCTAGTGCTAGAAACAAAGCGGGCGCTGCCATCAATGACTTCACGGCCCCGCGCTTCGGCTGTTGGCGATACAGCTGGGGGTGGCAGCAGCAGGCCAGCGCGATGAGCAGAACTACTCGGCGCGATTCGAGGAACCGGGGTGGCCTATCAGCCTGCGAACAACGTCACGCAAAAAGATCCCCACGCCGAATGCGCAGGGGCGGGCAGCCCTGCTACTGGCATTGGATCAAACAGGAGCGAGGGCGGAGGTCCTGGCGCGGATCTGGGCGCACCCGCTGAACAACCAGCAGGATGGTGCTGGGCCTGGTGCGCCACCTCCTCGAATTCAGGAGCCACCGGCTGCCGGGGCTGGAGCTCCCCAAGCCTCACCGAACGACGCAGCACGGGCAAACCCGAAAGACGTTCGACTGACCCCGCTGGAGGAAACTCAGGAGCCCAGCACCTTCCGGCGGTGGCTAAAGGGCGCACGGCTTCAGGCCGATACCCACCGCGTCGGGCTCTGTCAGGAAATTCTGGGCCAACTTTTGACGGGCAACAAGTCTTGAAGTGAGTGCTAGAGAAAACCAGCTCGCTCTTCTACTTCGTCGAGCTGTCAGGGCTTCCCTCGGTAAAGACCTCGGCAACAAGATCGAAGCATCGACCACAGCAGGCCAAGGGGTGGACAGTTTGCCCGGTGTGGGCAACGCGTTGCTTCGTCTGTCGATGTATTTTGCACAGGCTCAGGCTGTGAAGAGGGTGACGGAGTTGCGCAGCGCACGCTGGCGCAAGGGCGACCTGCTCCCGTTCGTTGGGCAGCTAAAATCCGCGGCAGCAAAATGCGGCAACGAGCTTCCCGCGGGACCAGTCCGGGAGCGAATGATCCGGAACGCGTTGACCCAGAACATCTCCACCAAGGACCCAACGGCCGGGGATATGGCGCAGAGGAGCTTGCGGGATAAAGGTCGCGGGCCGTGTTCCTCGAGCATTCCGGCGAGCAGCAGGCGCAGGCCTTCTCCGCTGAGCTGGAGGAACCGAACCAAGACTACCAGAAGGAGACCATGGCGCACAACGTGGAAACCCCTGGCGACGATCGAAGGCTTCAGTCGCTGAAGGACAAGCCCAAGAGCAGCTACCGCTGGCGCGTGCTGGAAAGCCTGGCGGCCAACGTGACCGCCCGGCGCCCTGCGGTGGCAAAGGTGATCGCGGCAAAAGAAGCAGAAACGGCCAAGGCAGGGGCCACGTAAAGAAGGGGGGCCCAGGGGCGACGACGTTCCGCGAGAAGTGCTCCCCGATGTGCGCCAAACTCTTTCTATGGCCACGACGAAGGCAGAGCTTCCGCCTTCCGCAGCCACAATGCGTCAGAGTGCAAGTCCAAGCAGACCCAGACGCCCAAGCCACCACCCCGCAAAGACGACGGCAAGCAGAAGATGAAGGGCAGTCGCAATTGACTAAGCGGCTGGAGAAACGCCCTAAAGCTAGCCAAAAAGAGAAAAGAGAAGCCGCATAAGCAGCGGCACAAAAGTGACCGCAGTAGTTTCCCGCTGGTCTCGTTGTTCGGAGCAAATTTTTCCTCAGAATCTAGCGCATTTGCAGCGCCCGCCTCGTCATCAGGAGCATCGTCTTCTTCTGCACCATCAACGCGACAAGCTGCGGACACAGCCGAGAACTTTGCGCCATCAAGTTCTTCTGCGTCTTCAGTCAGCGAAAATCTCGAGAGACGAAGTAGCTCACATTCAGCAGCCAGTAGCGCCTCGCCATTCAGTAGCTCTCAACCACCAGAGCCACCTACCTAGTACGCGACAGCTCTTCTAGTCACAACCGCCGCCACGTCCTCGCGCGAAAAGTAGACAACACTAACGACAAAGCGAACGAGTACTACAGCAAAGCCATTAGTTCCGGGGCCACCGCGCACGCCGTTCGTGGCCGGTCTCTTTTCGAATCAATTGACAGCAACAAAATCGCCAGGGTTCGGGGTGTGGCTGGTGCTGATACTGGACGCATGGGACGACTGAGGGGGAACATCTTAGGCAGCAACATACAAGCAATCCGGTTCCCAAAACTTCCGGGACAGGCCTTAATCAGCGTCAAGGCCAACAGGCTGAAAGACGACACGCGGGAAGTCGCGCTCTCTCCACACGAAGACACAGCAACGAACTTGATAGCCGGAGCTTTTGTCAGCTTAAGAGCAACCGAAAAAAAGCCCCCTAGCCTGCCGAGTCTCGAGCGACGACAAGGCGACCCCCATCCTGGTTCCTTCTGCTCTCCCATGCGCGACCAGAAGTCTAGCGGCGTCGGCCTTGATGAAATTTTTGAAACAGTTCCGCCTGCTGCGGGAGAGGCAGTAGCACGCACTGGAGGAAGGAGGCGAGGCCCTCGCGATGGTCAGGAGTCTGCCCGTGGCAAACTTCTTCAGCACTGGAGGGTGGCACACATCCACGACAAGGACGAGAGAGCGCCACGCCCCGACCGCATGCCAGCCAAGTCCAGAGGTATGGGGGGCTGGTTCAACTAGCTCGCCGGCACAGCAGGCCAGTCCGTCTCCCGTGCTGTTCTCCGCAAATTTCTCCGACCCCATAAAGCCAACCACTTACCGCGGCAACAAGTTCGCCATGCTGTTTGTGTGCAACTCCTCACAGTGTACTGCCGTCCGCTCACCCCCTGCAAAACCGTTCGCCCCTCAGGTAGTAGAGAGCTTTGCCAAGGAGATCAGGAGGAAAACCGGCGCCGATATACTGTCAGGGGAAGCCGCCACGCAGCAAGCTGATTTCAGTGAGGCTCAGAAGTGAAAACGAAGCCGCGCGAAAGTCGGCCGACATGGATTGGGCTTGTGTGTGAGCGATACAACGCCGCGCATCCGTTCAGCATTCCGCGCATGCCGTGGGCGGACGAACACCCACGCGGGACGCGCAGGGCAGAGTCTCAAGAACGCTCTGAGGTCTGTGATGCTGCACGCGGATCCCCAAGTTTGGGGCTATGGTCTCCGAGCCGCAGCGCACGCGTGGAACCTCATGCCAAGGCTAGACAAGGAGAGTAGCACTGTACGCGCACCGCTAGAGACCCTAAACAGCAAAGCCCAAAACCCGCGGAACAGGGTGAACGCCGAGAACAAGAAGAAGCACCCTCGTCGGCTTGGTTGTGTGTTAGTTTGGCTATGTTTCGCCCTGGCAGAACGGAGCTAGCGAAACAAGACGAGAAAAGCCCAGCCCCCCCTCCGAGGGCACTTAGGGGCGTTACTCTTGGTTGGAGCGACGGGAGCTCCTGCTGGTTCGTCGGCTGCTCTCCCGGTCCGGCTTCGGGGATGTTTGCTGTGTACCAGTGCAGCAGCGCCGTGCTTTTGGGAGAGATTCTGGCGCCAAACGTGAAACAGCTGCGCAGTAAAAGCACTGCGACCCTAGGCGAAAAAATCCTAGGGAGGCCGGAGGCGTCGGCCGCTCCTGCTTCTGCTGAAGCTTCCGCCGGGTGAGTTCCAAGAACTGCCGCAGGGGAGTCGCCGCACTTCCGTAGCGGAGTCGCTGAAGCAAGACCCAGAGGGGCCGCTGCCGATGCTCATCAGGCTCCCGCCCCCACCGAGGACAACGAGCGGAGACCGCACATCGATGCGCCTGGGGCCGAGTTGGTTCCCACCTTCCAAACAAGTGGATGGCTCGCCGGCAGTCCAGTACTATGGACCTTCTTTCCGCCCTGCCAGCGAGGTGAAGAGAGGTCGGCCCAAAGGTGTAAAAGACAAGCATCCACGGGCCCGCCATACGAAGGCGCAGGTCCTTGCGCAGCAGCAGCAGCAGCAGGCGAGTTTCTACGAGGCGACGCGCAGTCACCTCGAGGAAGAAGACGGCGAGGAACTCGCCACAGCTGAGATTTTTCCCAGCTGTGAACAAGACGAGCACAACACCCCGCCACGTGGCACTACAACTCCAGGCAAAAACCCTCAGGCACGAAAATCCACACCGCCCGCGCTGGATCGAGGCAACCCAAGCGGAGGCAGCAAGACTAGAGGCTGGCTCGCCGATGTTGGCGGAAACTACTGGCTTCCGAGTGCTCTGACTTCTACGCCGGAAAATTGAAGCGCACACCAACCGCCCTGCTGCTGGCGAGGAAGCTGCGGGCGCTTCAGAGCCAGACTAGTCGCGCCGGGCAACCGTTGGCAAGCAGAAGCTAACTCGGACGCCCCGCGCTAAGCGAGCGCCGTGCCGCACCTTGGAAACCGCGTAGCGCTGATCTCCGGGACGAAAGGAAAATGGCCGACGAGGGCCTTTGACATTGGCAGCGCCTTCATCCGAGAAAGCACTCAGCGCCACAGAGTTGCAGTCTCGATCCCCGAGCAGTTCCGGGATGTCAGCGCCTTCATCCGAGAAAGCACTCAGCGCCACAGAGTTGCAGTCTCGATCCCCGAGTAGTTCCGGGATGGCGAAGCCGACGCTAGCAAGGAGCTGGCCGCAATTTTGACCGTCTACGTTGACGACTGCGCGGCGATTGCGGAAACGGATCAGCTGGCGGGTGCATTGACTTCCCAGGTGCATAAGCTGCACCCGGTCACGATGATCAGCATGGAAAAAGCACCAGAGAAGCCGACCGGCCCGATGCTGTGGAGTTCGACTTACTTGGTGCAGCCTGCATCTACTCCAAACAGAATGGCGCTCTGCACATCAAGGCGCGAGCCTACGCTGCATAAGTGCGGAAGAAATTTGACATGCATCCATCGGAAGGGCCTGAAGGCTCTGCCCCCTCCAGACTTCGAGGAGGGTCCGACGTGCGACGAGAACGCTACCCCCTCCACCTTCCCACCGGGAGCACTGGCCGGCGCGCTGCAGTGGCTGACCGTGGCAGAGCGTCCGGACCTTGCAGCAGCTGCCAACAAGCTAGCCGGAGCAACTGCCAACAAAGTCAACAAGGCGACGGAAGCCGCTGGGCGTAAAGTACTTCGCTACTTGGCTGGTGCCAAGGGCGTTGGAGCTGAGTACCCGCCCGAAGCCGGGCGGCCAGAAGCTGCTCAGCCATGTCACCCCGCTGCCGCGTATGGAGGCGCATCGTCTGCCTCCACCGACCGCGCGCCGAAGAGCGTCACCGGAGTGATAGTCTACCTTTTTGGCTGTCCAGTTGCCTGGAAATCGACGCCCCGGAGCGTAACTAATGGCACAAAACGCGACAGGCTGCACCCAGCAAGGCCATCGAGATGACAGACGGGCCTCGTCTCATGCTGCAGTTCCTCCGAGGTAGAACCGAACTAGAGCAAGCAAGAGACCAAGAGCCCGACGCCGGTGCCATCTTATGCGAGAAACAGTGTCCCGCTTCAGTTCCTCCCTCGGTATCAGCAAGCACGCACTCTGCTTCCACGTTATCAGCCGCCTTGTATGCGAGGCAGCGCCCCCCCCCAGTGTGGGCGAACTGGACTCCGCTCCGGGTAGTGGCTCGCCCGGCTTTCCAATAGATTCCCGCCCCCGTCTTTTCTTGCGGTCAGCGAAGAGCCCCCTGCTGTTTCTTGTAACGGCTTTGAAAAAGTGCGGCGCTAAATAGCTGCCGGCATTTATAGCCTAAAGCCCTCAGATCTCTAAGAAGAGAAAAAATAAGAACTGCGGGCCTGTGCTCCTACTGTGTGAGAGTATGGGCGCAGAGGGTCTCTATCCAGGCAAACGAAATTGAGCAAAAAAAACTATATTTATGCAATGCCAAGCGTGGCCAAGTGGCTCCTAACTAATATTATATTATTACTACTATCACTATTATTGTTGGTCATGTATGGCTCAAGCCTCTCGGATGTCGTGTTGTTCTGTTCTCAGTGGCTCACACAAAGCCTCGTGCTCGACTGTCATCGGGATGATCTCACAAGACACGAATGTCAATGATCATGAATGCTACTTCCAATGCGCAATCAATGCGTAGACTGGGCACGTGTGTACTGACCCTAGTCGTATGATGCATGTTCAGTCCGATCCCTTCTGACATGCTTATGCTGATGATGTATGATTCATCTTACCCAATGAACCAAACAGGGATNTCAGTCCGATCCCTTCTGACATGCTTATGCTGATGATGTATGATTCATCTTACCCAATGAACCAAACAGGGACTACACCAGCCAGAGATCGCAAGTCTCAGGCAGGAATATCAAGATTTGCTTGCATTCAAGATTCTGACTTTGTGTTTCCACTGAGAAACGAACCAAGGCACGGAGGCCTGTGTTCTTGTGGTCCAACAATTATTATTATCATTATTATCATTATAATGAAGGGGCCCGCCAGAACAGTCTGGCTTAGCCTAGACTTGCTGACCTTCCTGGGGTTCCCGTGGCTTGCAGGCTAGCCAGAGTCTGCCACCCCCGGCGCCAAGCCGGCCAGCAGGGTGATACTGTTTAACCTCCATGAGCGCGCAGGCGCTCCCTGAGGCTGTCTGCACACTCGGGGCGGAACCAGAGAGCATTTCGACAAGGGCGAGGCGTTAGCTTCTACCGTGCCCACGATCTTCGGAGGCGCGTCCACGAAGCAAGTTCCGCAGCGACCAAGTGCTACAGCCTAGGGCCCATTAGTTGCAGCGCTGTCCGCTGGGTCGCAAGTCTCTTCGAGAGACTCAGATGAGGAAATTAGCCCGCGGGGCAGTTTAGTTCGCCCCCTAGCCGGAGCGCCACTAAGCGGCACTGCCTGCACTCCGGTCACCAGCGAAGTGCGACTGATGTTCGCTATGATTATGATTGTTGGAGGGGTTCGCCAGACAGTCAGGCGACCGGCGCCTTCTATGACCTTCCTGGGTTCCTCAGGACATTCAGACGGTGCGCGCCTGTCACCCTCGGCGTCGGGCCGGTCCCTCAGGTGGTACTGTTTACCCTCATCGACGTGCTAACGATCTCCGAGGCAGCCTGCACACGTGCAGCCATGGCCACGGTGCATCTCAGCTAGGACGAGGCGCGGGCTTCTCACGTGCCCACGATAGTGGCATCGGAGGCGCGACAACGAAGCAAGCTTCGTAAGGGCCAGCCACTGCAGCCAAGGGCCCAGGAATTGCAGCGAGTGGCGTTCGCTGGGTCGCAACGCCTTCGACGGAGGCGAAGCGGAGGAAATACGCCCCCGGGGCACTTTCCACGCTAAGTAAAAAGTGTGACAAGGTAGATGGTGCAACTACAAGAAGCAGCAAGGGGAAAAAAGCAGTAAACCCTACAAGCAAGAAGCGCGAAACTAAAGCGGCGAGATACGTAGAAAACAGGAGGGCCTACAGTACAGCTATCAGATGACGGAGAATTCCTATAGAACAAAAAAAAACGGGAGTGGTGCGAGAATGAGAAGCAAGCAAGGGCGCACGAATTCTACTGGGAGACGAGCTGGTAAGCTTCCGCGTCAACCAGAGCACCCGAGGCTGTGCGAAGCCGCATGCCACGACTCAACCAAGACGCCGCGCCCGGTGGTTGTGTGACTCAGGATGAAGGACAGCTCGCTCCCCAGACAGAGGGAATCAAACAGAAGGAGAGCGACAGCGCGCTGGGGCAACAGACGACACCGTACCGGCACAGGGTCTCGGCTGCTAGGATCTCGCGCCCTCTTCATAGAATCGAGCAACACAAAAGCACAAGGAGGCACAGACAGACAGCGCCCCGCGGGGACTCAGATATCTCTGGTTCGTCTCTCGCGCCTTCTCGTATCAGGTGCTTGCGAACATCAAAAAAAAGAACGCGCACAAACAGCAGCTTGGTTTTTCTCACAGAGGTGCCCCGTCTGGTGCTCATAGCTCTCCCTTCCCACCAGGGGCGGCGCCCTAACTAATATGGACACAAGCGGGCACGCAAAGCCGAGGACGTGGAGTGTTGGAATTGGTTGCATTTTCTGACGAATCGCAACACCGTGCAGGGAAACAGAAAAAGAGTAGTGTGCCTGTTGGAATGTCGTGGGTTTGGTGGGCAGTCAGGACCATCAGGACCTTTTTCAAAGGATCACCATGAGGCTAAGAAGATCCGAATTGAGCCACAGTGGTTCTTTACGGGGAGTTTTCCCCTCAAGGTCTTAATTCCACACTTTGTATATTTTGAGCTGAGGAATGTCATAACGCCCTGAAGGTAGCTCTCGCGATCATCGTTTCCAACTCCTGATATCTTTGTAGCGACACCTGAAAAGAGCACTTTTGTGTTAAGCCAAACAAAGACAATGCGTCATCAACATCAAGTATATATCCATCATCTATCTACCCTTATCTCAGTCTCATTTTCCTTTCCTCCAAATAAACTACACAAGGCTGAACTTTATCAGAGGGAACGTCATGAGGAAGAAAACCGAAAAGAAAGATACGCAATTGCCCTGGGCCCACTGGCACTTCGCACTTTGTGTGCCACCACAAAATTTCTGCGACTTCGCGATACACTCTCGATCGTCGGCCGATGGCACAAATTCCTGACTAGCGGCATATGCGTTCTTCATCTCTATAACATGTCTAGCCAGGCTACCAGCCGATAAGCCGAGCTGATTAGTATACTTCAGCTCTCTGTCGCGCGATATCTGAAAAGAGTATTTTTGTGTTAAGCCAAACAAAGACAAGGCATCATCATGTATATATCCATCATCTATCTGCCCTTATCTCAGTCCCCTTTTCCTTTCCTCCAAATAAACTACACAAGGCTGAACTTTATCAGAGGGAACGTCATGAGGAAGAAAACCGAAAAGAAAGATACGCATTGGCCCTGGACGTACACGCATGGTGGAAAGTCACACTGGGCCAGCGACTTCGCGATACAACTGTAATCCTCCGCCGATGGACTTAGGTAGGACGCTGATGCATGCATGCATGCACACACACACACACACACACACGCGCGCGCGCACGGTCTTCGTGCATCGTGCCAAGATCTTCATCGACATTTTTTCTTCTTTTCTCTAAACGTTGAGTTGAAAACAAGCTTACTTTCTTTGAGTGTCGGTCTGTTTTCCCTCAAGAAGACAGGCGATAGACGAGGGTCTATGATATCTAAAAGAATATTTTGAAGCTTTTCCCTCTTTGCTTTCAGTAATAATTGTTGGACTTCTTGACAATATGGCAGAAGTCCTTGGATAGGTGCAAGTATCATCGAGTAAGTATTTTTCTTTCTTCTACTAACGATTTGCTTCTTCGAGAAGAAGTAGACAGGTGCTGGAGAAACTACATCAAAAAAATTTCCGTTTAGGCCAGCCAGCTGAAGATTTTTCTTTTTTCTTTCAATAACAGTTTCTTGCTTGAAGAAGTGTCAACTGTGCATCAACTACAAGTGTCAACTTTTACACTGCGTCTACTCTGTTTGGGGGAGAGTGGATGGGATAGGAATGGTATGCGGTGTTTGGGGAGTGAGTAGCGGTATGCGGTGTTTGGGGAGCGAGAATGTGGTGGTATAATGCAGTTTTTGGGGAGAGTGCGATGACATTGACAGCTGTTCATAACCGACGTTTTTTTTTTGAATTTGGAGATCATGTACGCCACAAGTTCTTCGACATACGACCGTTCGAAGACATACTGTTCTTTTTTTCCTAAACTTCAGTACTCGGTTAGGACGTTTGTGAACACATACACTTTCTTGCCACTGCGACTACCTTGCTGTATTTTTGATGTCTGATGGTGGTGTTGTGCTGAGACCACAGAAGGCACTAATCAGGCATACGTGACGACGAGCACCAGCAGGAGGACTTCGTTTGCTCTATCTCTATGTCCGTACGCAGTTATAAGAAAAATTAGAGTGCTGTGAATGTCCTCTTTCTGAGAAGAGTTTCAATCATGGTGGTTTGTAGTTTCGATGGTGATTTTTCCTTTCAGTGGTGGTTTTCGGGGTTTCATTAGTTAGAGGTCATCATCATGGGCTATTATTGTTTTCTGTGAGGATCTGAGCAGGCCATCCTTCGCTTCATTCTTAGAGGAGATATTGATCAGGTCCGCACCCTTAGAGGACACAATTCGCTTTATTCTGTGAGGATTTCCTGTACGTTGATCTGAAAAATGATGTGAGAGAAGTCTGCTGATGCAATTTCAAGGTTGACACAGCGCTTCTCGTCTGGCGCTCCTCGTCGAGGTGCCACTTCACGCGTCTTCCTATCTCTAGCTCTACTTCATCCTCCAACCATCGCTCTGTAAGTGCCACTTGTTGATGTAGAATGTACAACAAATACTACTAACTTATACAGTACACGTCGGACGTCATCTCTTCATGCCCTATGACCTACATTGGGGAGAATCTTCTGCAAGCACAGTAGAAGAAGTGTTCGTGCTAGCGGGTTGAGCTCTGGGGGAAAGCTAGCCCATCAAGTATCAAGTCGAGTGATTGGTGTTTCTATTAGTTCATTGATTGTAACCAGCAAGAATGGCTTGCATGCTTCTCTCTAGGTAAGCCAGCAACGACTTGCGTCTCTCTGGGTAAGCCGTCTCCTAACAAGCCTAGCAATGTATCGGACTACAAGCTAGACGCGATGAGTCGCATGTTGATATGACATCTTTATCGTATATCGTCGATTTTCTACGTACAAGTAACGTGTTTGGTCATTTCCCATCATGTTGAACGATTTAGTATTTAGATGTAGAAGGTCGTGTATCTACTACTAGACTAATAAATTTGTAGTCGTCTTGTTGTAGATGTAGTACGGGTCGCATTCTTGTCACTGAACACGTAGTTTGGTGTGTCTTCACATCCTAGAAGTCTACAGTACTTAGTCGTCTCATGTCATTGCTAGTGCGTCGGTAATCCTTGTTTCATGTCATTCTCGTTTATGATGAACTGCTTTGTCTTTTGACGGCAGTCTTCGTCAGCGTCACGTGGACTTTGATCCTCGTCTATAAAAATTTGCAGAATATACGTCCTAATAGAACTTGATGATCAAGCTCGATGACATACAGGGATGAATTCTGGGCCCTTTGAGCTTCGGGCGAACACTAGTTGTACGTACGAAGATTTATTTAGATTTAAAAAGACAAATCTATACTGGTGTGGAACAGCAAATAAATGGAACAAGTAAATTCTTTCTGGAATAAAACTAAGAAAAGGGTAGCAACAAGTGCTAAGCAAATACTACGAAGAGAGCAGACACTTTTGTTGATATAAGAAGTTGTAAAAATTCATTGAATAGGTTGATTTGCAGTCATCAAGTCGTCTAGTAAGCACAATTGTAATAGCATTCTTGTTTAGTTGTAAATACGATTGACTTAGGATGTCGTTACTCTCGTCAACAAAATCGTATTCTTACTGGTACGTGATGTAGTGATCTTCTAAAACAGGAAAACAATGAAGGTATATTTTGTATACTTCTTTAACAGGATGAAGTTTGAAATGATATTCATTGGCACTCCTCTAGTCCACTCTAATGCCCTGTTGTATGCACTGCGCTTTGTACTGTTCCAGGCTCTTCTGCGCCATATTCCTAGCGCTCTGATCATCATGTCCTTGCTGTTTATAGCTCTCGACGTACTGTGCGTAGACGTGTGCAAACCACTGCCGTTTTTGTTCTGCGGAGCCGTCTGCACTTGGCGCGCTCATCACCGTGCTTGAAGAAGCGCCGCCAGCGCCGCGAGGGTTAGAAATTGAAATGGTAGCACAAAATAATTGACTACTCTTGCTGTTACTTCTTACTTACAAACTGTAAGCAGGGACTAGACCACGAGGTTACATGATCCGAATCATCGAGGTAAAGGAAGACTTACTTCTATCCTACTTAGTTATAAGAAAATTCGAATCTTTAGAATCTTTAGCATCTGTAGTAGCCATAACACCGCTGCCACCTGATCGTCCTGATGACGGGTTTTCTCTGCCTCCGCCACCATAGGCACCATCGTCCCAGTCCCAGTAGTCGCGTCGCCTCCTCTTCAAATCAGGGCCGTCCGAGTCTTCGTCATCCCAACCTGTTGTGGGAGTGATTGTGGCAGTGGTTGTGGGAGTGATTGTGGAAGTGGTTGTGGTCGTGGTTGTGGGAGTGCTTGCGGGAGTGATTGTGGGAGTGGTTGTGGGAATGATTGTGGGAGTGATTGTGAGAGTGGAAGATGAACCATCGGTGGATGAATGCTCGTTTAGACTTCTCAAGAACAAGATGAACCTCAACCTTCATCAATCAAATATGATTTGAAAAATAAGTGACACTCATTGCTGAAAGGGTTCTTTACGAGAATTATACGAAGGGTTGTTGTAGTTGTCCAGCAAATACTAAAGGAGCTAGAGAACAATCGGTACCTTTCCCATAGTAATCCCTCTTGCCCTTGTATCCACCTTTTGGGTACTCGTCTCTATCCTTGCTGTAGCTGTCGTAGTAGCTTGACGATCGACTTTTGCCGTAGTCTTTGCCCCCATAGTCCTTTGAGCCATAAGATTCGGATCGTCCATAGTTGTCTCGGTCCCCCTTGCCAGGATACCGCTCTCCCTTGCCATAGTAGTCGCTGTAGCTCGATCCTCGGCCTTCGCCTTTGCTCCCTGGGCCTTCGTAGTAGAGAAATTAGAGCAGTCTGGTGTTGCTAAGTGCTGGTGTGTTATAAACCAACATCAATGTCAGGACTAGAGTGTATCCTTATATATTGATCGTGTACCTTATCTATGGGTCAGCAGTACTGTCGTGTGTTAGCAAATATGTTTATCAACCAGGGGTGGTCAGCACCAGAGACCTGTTATGAGCTTGCCAATATCTGGTCGCAAGTACATGGTGGTTGCGCACATAGACTTGTGCGTACTGGGCTACGATAGTCGTAGGTAAGTCAATAGGTGCCCAACATCAGAAAAAACTGTTCCTTACAAGAACAAGGTACAACTGAGAGGCAAGCTAGTACACAGTCAACATGCTAGGGAAATTCTCTTCTCATAACTATCGTTTTCGTGATCGCTGTATTTCCCACCACCGTACTTTCCGCCGCCACCCTTTTTCCCGTACTTGCCATACTTTCCACCGTATTTACCGTAGTACCCTTCGTCGTCGCTATACTTGCCACCTCCGTAGTCCGACTTGCCCTTTGAGCCCCACTTTCCACCAAAATAGTCGTCCTCGTCGTAGCCGCCTTTTCTTAGAGCTCATGACAAAACAATGTTGCACTATAAAGTACAGCTGCGGCACTAGTCCACCTGAGAAAATAACAGTTTATCAATAAATCCTTACTGTGTGGACTACATCAATTTCAATAGTCGTGAGCCTTAACTTTCCACCTTTCTCGAACTCGCCTCCTGAAGTCTTGCTCGAAAATTTTCCGCCATACCCCTTGCTCTGGAAAAAATCACTGTTGTAAATGGAAGTTGCGCCATCAGGTCGTGGACGTCGGTAGTAAGCTGCACCCTTGCCTGCCCACTGTTCCCAGCCCTGAAGGAATTGGTAGAAAAGTTCTTACTGTGCTGAATCGAAATCGAAAACATAGAGATCAAAGGAACAAGATCATGATCAGAAAGATAGAAGTAGCAGAGGTGTAGATAAAAAGGACAATGAAGCCTCCTCTTTCTCTTTTACTCGGAACTGATCTTTCTTGACAGAACAGCACCGATCGTTTTCGTCTCGTGGATCATGGTGGTGTTGTGAATCGAAAAAAGAAGGCACTAATCAGGCATACGTGACGACGCGCACCAGCAGTAGCACTATGCGAGTCAGCTGCCTCCTCCTGTTCGTTGATGATAATGAGATATCAAGCAACAGATTTACGCGATCATAACTCGTGCTCGTTTGTTCGAATGTGAAATGCATCAACCGATTGATTCATGTGCCAAACTCTGGCGCATCGCATGATCTATATTGTTCATTCAAGGCAGAAGATCAACGGGATTTTATTGTTCGCTGAGGGCATGAGATCAATGGGCTTTTATTGTTGGCTCAGGACAGTAGATGAGCAGACCTATCAACATGGTATCGCTCCAACGAACTTCCACCCTCTTTTCACAGTCACAACAGGAAAATCTCCACGGTGAAAGCATACTCCCCGCCATCGATCATGGCGCGATAGTAGGATATTCTGCTTCTGGACATCATAAGCATAACTCAACATCATTGTCTGATCTGAGTGTCTGGAGGTTGTGGGGAGTTTATAATCAATCATGAAGATTATAAAACCTTCTTTGAAGTCACTAGTAAGTGTATTTTTTTCCATCTATTTTTTCCTAGAATAATCCACGTTGTCGTTGTTGCCTTTGAGCTAACGCTAAGTAGTTCTAATTTTAATAATTCCCAGTGAAAGTAGAACTTTGGTTAATGTGATAATCAGTGGAGGATCTTTGGTTAATGTGATAGCGCTTGTGTAATTCGTTGTAAGAAGTGAACAAAAAGATGAAAACGCGAATACTGAGTAAGAACGCCTTAACTGTCTGTATTAGTGTCTTTTTATCGATAACAGCGATATAATCGGTTGACTTGTCGCCATCGTGGAGTAGTGTTTTGCGATAGAATATAAGTGTAGTCGAGTAGTACTGCTTTCATTGCTGTGAAAATTTAGTGAGTGCCGTGAAATCATTCCCTAATCCCAATCTCTTGATCAAATCATCTACTTAGCCTCTAGTCCAACTTCCATCCTCGAAAATTGCTGTGAGTTGTTATCTTCTACTCGTATTACATAAAGAGATATCTTAGTCTAGTGGTCCAGAAGTTGAGATAATCCAAGAAACTTTGCTTACCCTCCTCTTGTCCTGCACCTTGGTCTGGATTTGCAGTTTATATTTGCTCCACCGGAGGTTGCAGCTCCAGGAATGCCGATCCCCGTTCAGCTCGCGCTTGCCTTTGTGCTATTAAGGCAGCCACCGCTGCGTTAGCCTCCTCCCTTTGCCCTGCCGCTGTGGCATCTGATTTTGCTTTTTTTTGTTTGTCTCTTTCTTCTGTTGCTTCTGCTGCTTCTCTTTCTCTTTGTCCTGCTGCTGATTCCTAAAAAAGAATAAATTTGTGGTGTACTTGATCGAAGCAACAAAAACGTGTCATGCTAAGTGTTCGTGCTGTGTGTCCCCTATCTCATCATCGTCTTTTTTGCTTTATCAGAGAGAAAAGCCAAATTGAATGCCGAAGGATTTCCAACCACTGCAAAGAGAAAAAAGAGAAAGAGAAAGATACTTTGCAGCCGTTATTGACCCACTCGCAGTTACAGCCGTCGTGGATACCCGTGCCCCACCGCCCAACACAGATACGCGGGTTGCCCTGTAAACTACAGAATGTTTTTGGGCAACGCTTTGCATAATCAGACTGCACGTCAAGTGCGTGCACACTCAACACACACACACACACACACACAGCCACCCACGCGGCCTTGGTGCATCGTGTCAAGATCTTCATCGACATTTTTTCTTCTTTTCTCTCAACGTAGAGTCGAGAACAAGCTTACTTTCTTTGAGTGTCGGTCTGTTTTCCCTCAAGAAGACAGGCGATAAACCAGGATATATGATATCTAAAAGAATATTTTGAAGCTTTTCCTTCTTTTCTTTCAGTAACAATTTTTTGACTTCTTGATCAAGGAGATATAGCTAGTCCTTGAGTGGGTGCAAGTATCTTTGAGTAAGTATGTTTCTTTCCTCTACTAACGATTTGCTTCTTCGAGAAGAAGTAGACAGGTGCTAGAGAAACTACAACAACGAGTGTCAACCACACTGCATTTCTGTTTAGACCAGCATTTTGAGGATTTCCCTTTTTTTTCTTTCAATAACGGTTTCTTGCTTTAAGAAGTGTCAACTGTACATCAACTACAAGTGTCAACTTTTACACTGCGTTTACTCTGTTTGGGGGAGAGTGGATGGGATAGGAATGGTATGCGGTGTTTGGGGGGTGAGTAGCGGTATGCGGTGTTTGGGGAGTGAGTAGCGGTGGTATAATGCAGTCTTTGGGGAAAATGCGATGACAGCTGTTCATAACCGACGTTTTTTGGTACGCCACAAATTCTTCGACATACGACCGATCTCATTTTTTTCCTAAACTTGTTTGCTGCTGTGTTCGTTTTTTCCCAAACTTCAGTACTCGGTTAGGACGTTTGCGAACACGACATACACTTTCTTGCCACGACGCCTACCTTGCTGTATTCTTGATGTCTGATGGTGGTGTTGTGCTGAGACCACAGAAGGCGCTAATCAGGCATACGTGACGACGAGCACCAGCAGGAGGACTTCGTTTGCTCTATTTCCGTACGCAGTTATAAGAAAAATTAGAGTGCTGTGAACGTCCTCTTTCTGAGAAGAGTTTCAATCGTGGTGGTTTGTAGTTTCGATGGTGGTTTTTCCTTTCAATGGTGGTTTTCGGGTTTTCATTAGTTAGAAGTCATCATCATGGGCTATTATTGTTTTCTGTGAGGATCTGATCAGGCCATCCTTCGCTTTATTCTTAGAGGACACATTGATCAGGTCATCACCCTTAATTCTGTAAGGATTTCCTGTACGTTGATCTGAATGATGTGAGAGAAGTCTGCTGATGCCATTTCAAGGTTGACACAGCGCTCCTCGTCTGGCGCTCCTCGTCTAGGTGCCACTTCACGCGTCTTCCTATCTCTAGCTCTACTTCATCCTCCAACCATCGCTCTGTAGGTGCCACTTGTTGATGTAGAATTGGGGAGAGAAGAAGTGTTCGTGCTAGCGGGTTGAGCTCTGGGGGAAAGCTAGCCCATCAAGTATCAAGATGAGTGGTTGGTGTTTTTATTAGTTCATTGATTGTAACCAGCAAGAATGGCTTGCATGCTTCTCTCTAGGTAAGCCAGCAACGACTTGCATCTCTCTGGGTAAGCCGTCTCCTAACAAGCCTAGCAATGTATCGGACTACAAGCTAGACGCGATGAGTCGCATGTTGATATGACATCTTTATCGTATATCGTCGATTTTCTACGTACAAGTAACGTGTTTGGTCATTTCCCATCATGTTGAACGATTTAGTATTTAGATGTAGA